CAAACTCTATTACAGCGGTTCCAATATCGTTTGTGTTCGATTATGAGAAAATGTGATCGATTGCTTGGTCGTTTGGCCACTGCGACCAATCTTCGATTATTTCAATTAATCGGACCAACACTAACTACGACTAGTAATAATAATAAAAATCCATCAGTAAGGTGCTCAGTGGCGCTGTACCAAGTTGTTGTAAAGACAAACACAAGATCATAGTCAGTTTGGGTATGCTTGAAGAAAGAGGTATGTCTTTAGATCTGGTTTGATGTTTGTCGGTGCCATTGGTCATATGAGAGATAGGGGAAGACTCACTCATATATTTTCTTTTGTTTACATACAAAGTCTCAAGTGTTTGTTTATCCCAATGTGTATCTTATCTGTTATCTGTACGTGATATAGTGACATCATAATTATTTTGCCGCTTATCTGACAAATGGCTGGATCAGTTGTCCTATATATCAATGACATCATGGTCTTAACTTATAAACAGCCTTTTTTTCAAATGATTATAATCATGATAATCTTCATTCTTGCCTTGTTTATGTCACATTTTCTTTGCTCTTACAGTACCCGTGAAGATCCGGGTTAGAATTGATCTTCAGTAACACATGCTTGTCGGGTTCGGGTGGTCAGGCTCGCTGACTTGGTTGACACATGTCATCGGTTCCCAATTGAGCAGATTGATGTTCATGCTGTTTGTTGATCACTGGATTGTCTGGTCCAGACTTGATTATTTACAGACCGCCACCATATAGTTAGAATACTGCTGAGTGCGGCGTAAAACTAAACTCACTCACTTTGCTCTTACAGGCGTTAGTTTGACAGAAGCCATTGTCATGTTTACATTATTGCCCTTTAAACAAATTGTTAACCAAATTTTACACCAGTGTTGGGGAAACCTGATAATTTGTATTGATTATTTGGAAAGAAAAATGATGCTGATTGAGCTTAATTGTTTACAACAAGATACAGATTGCCATTTGCCCTCTCTGAAACCACTCAGGTCTACTCACGACACTGGTATTGGAATGCAGATCCATAGAATTATGGTATGAATAATTTACTAGGTTTGAAATACTTGTTCCTGCTATGCATTGTGTTTGGCACTGGTCAATGTGTCGGCCAATCATTTGGCTAGTGTGTGTTATACCTTGGGGAGGTATTGGATAACACCAGGCTGATCTAATCCGGTTGTATAATAAGGCTTAGTCTGGCTGCAGCCCATCTGCTCTCTGTAGTGAGGCAGTCCTCAAACACAGTCTGACACTGTGACAACACTACTTAGATATTAGCAATAGCACGCTGTCATATTATGAACATAGACTTCCATGCTGGGGAATATTTAAGGCCTGTATGTCGTGGTTATGTAATTACTCTGTGATCAATTACAGGCAGCCATTTACACCCCACACTAATTTGTCATGTTGGTTCCCTGACTGGTCCATGGTGTATTGATTGAGGCGCTGTGTATACAGCCGATTGATCCTCACTTGCTTAAACAAAATAGGGTAGTATTGTGTTCATTATACAGGGTCAGTCTTGTGTTCATTAAACAGGGGTCAGTATTGTGTTCATTATACAGGGGTCAGTATTGTGTTCATTATACAGGGGTCAGTATTGTGTTCATTATACAGAGGTTAGTATTGTTTTCATTATACAGGGGTCAGTATTGTGTTCATTATACTGGGGTCAGTATTGTGTTTATTATACAGAGGTCAGTATTGTGTTCTCTATACAGGGGTCAGTATTGTGTTCATTATACAGGGGTCAGTATTGTGTTCATTATACAGGGGTCAGTATTGTGTTTATTATACAGGGGTCAGTATTGTGTTCTCTATACAGGGGTCAGTATTGTGTTTATTATACAGGGGTCAGTATTGTGTTCATTATACAGAGGTCAGTATTGTGTTCTCTATACAGAGGTCAGTATTGTGTTCATTATACAGAGGTCAGTATTGTGTTCATTAAACAGGGGTCAGTATTGTGTTCATTATACAGGGGTCAGTATTGTGTTCATATACAGGGGTCAGTATATAGCTGTCAGGATTGAACATTATCAGATTTTTGTGAACATCGATCCAACTGGGATACAATGGCCTGCATCAACAACTGACGTAAAATTGATGCTTCCATCAGTTTATGATAATCATGATAATGAATGATTCAATATGGATAATGCCATATTTTCTGGTGTTTCATACTTGATTATATGCATGATGAATGTATGGAAATAACAATTTAGGTCAAGGAAAATGAGAACCGATGAATCACCATTTCAACTGTATTTCTAATTAATGATTGTTTGTTATGCAAATATCGTATCTACTGAAAATTCTGCTAAAAAATAACCATTATTACGTCTCAAAAGAAGTTTGCTACAATGACAGGAAGTCTGTATCTGAAATCCCTGTAACCATTATTCAACCATGAATAATATACTTATGTCATATTGTGTTAGTTCCAGCTTTTATAATATATATCTAATGACTATAATCTGAACACTTATGTTGTCAGGTAATTAGTAAGCATGGAGTTGGTTAAAGAGGGACCATAGAAAATTTACAATTTTGATTGCTATAGTCAACTACAAACAGATGACACTTTTGACGAGTCGAAGTGTGGTTTTTGTGATAAGTGTATCAATTCTCTGACAGCTGAAATTGTTTTCACGGCATTACCATTGGTAATCTGAGGTTTGGTATAATCTGCTGAACAGTTAAGACATTTTTAACCAAAATTAGACTAAATATTTCTGAGTGAAATTTGAATAAATTGATGAAGAGGTATACAATGACCTTTTTGTTACCAGATAGCGAAACAGGATTAACATACAGAATTCTGTACAGTTTTGTTGGGAAGGTTTTTATGATTATGTAAAATGTTCTTTTTGGGGGCAAATCTTTAATATTTTTAATAATAATGGCGGTCATTAATTACTCATGTTTAAAGCAAATCTTGGTGTAACAATGAGAGTTTTGACGGGACGACTGTAGTTTCGTTTATAACTTGGCACTGTGATATTTATTTGATGAAACGACATTATTTTATCAATGTCAAGATTAAGATCATAAAGGATGAACTGTTTTATTCAGATGCACTCATGTTTAAGTTATGTTGAATTTATGGCCAATTGCAATTATCAACGGCTCATATAGTAAAATAAATGGCCCATCCTTAAAAAAAGTGGCCCATAAATATGTTAACAAGCGGCCATAGATCCATGAAGATTTCCCTTCCAATCACAGCCTACACTGATAGACGTAGGTCTTTCTGCCATATATCTTTAAACATGCTTCAACACAGTTGGGTCCAGTACCACAAGATCATTCATAGCAACAAAACTTGGTATTGGAAATAATATTAAGTGCCAGTCACCATTTAATGGTTTATGGGAGAGTGTGCTGGGATGAAGCAGAGTTATTTTTTAAATTGATAGTACAGTGCACTCTGTCTAATTCAGACCAGCTTGGGACCGTCTAAAAAGTCCGAATTATACAGTAGTCCGAAGTACACAGATTTTAATGGAGTTATCTCCCTATTATCAGCAGAATTAAAATTATAAACTATTTTTCGCAATGTTATTGAAAACAACGATTCTCGGACACCTGCTTCGGCAGCGGGTCCACAATAACATTGTCAAAGAGCAAAGTAACGATGTTTCGAGGAATTCATGAAATAAATTGAATAAACTAATGAATGAAATCAACAACAACATTCATAAAAGTTGTCAAAATTACTATTTCCATCTTTTTGTGCGATCATATAATGTAAGTCAAGTCACTGACAAAATACACAAACCAATCAACGGAATGTTTATTCAAGGTTTATTGGCCAAGCGGACTTCCCGCTCAGTCCGAATTATATAGCAATGTTTTTACATGTAACTACCTTATCGGGCCGACACTTTGGTCCGAAATCCTAAGTAATGAGAGTCCGAGATACAGAGCTTGTTCATTATGACAACAAAGAAGGATTACGTCGGGACCGTGAGTTCAGTCCTGTTTATACAGCAATCCGAGAAAGACAGAGTCCGAGTTGGACAGAGTGCACTGTAGGTATAGTCCTTTTGGCTCAAAAGCGGACCGATGAATTGCAATCTAACTCGAAAACTAATAAACATATAATACTCAATGAAACACTGATCATAATCAAAACATATGACCAACTCCATGATTTTTAAGCAGAATTTATGTCCTAAAAATAAGAAAGTTGTTTAACAAACCAGAGGTACAGATAAGCTGCGTATCTGCGTAAATTACGCAAATATTTATGCGAAAACTCAATTCCTATTAAGTCTATTGCGTACAAGTACGCTTGAAATTTTGTAAATACTCAATAGATGTGATGTTACATGCGTACACACAAAAGTGTCAAATCTTAGCTTGCGTACCGGTGGATAGATAAAATAACTGAGGTATATTGAGAGTTTCTGTTTCAGGACATGAACTTGGCAACTTGCAGTCTCTTATTGCTTCTCATATTACAGATCAAATATATATAACAAACACTAACATTTAAACTTTATTATATTTTAACAATTAATGGAAAATGACAAAATACCCAATTGAGTTTGAGTGAGGTGAGTACATTTTATTTGGTTACTGAAAGGAAAATTAGGATACCCAATTGAGAGGACCACAAGCGAGTACATAACTCAATGACCCAAAACGTTATCTGTAGCTCTGACAAACTATCAATAAATGATGAAACTCAGTGAAAATTTATGAATTCTTAACAAAACTTTACACCAAAACACAGCTGTTCACATGCACGATGTTTGCACAAACTTTCAAGCCATATGATGCATGATCGTCGTGCAGTTCATCTGCATAAGGTTTGCAGTTGTTTCCCCCAAGTTAGTGGAGAAATTCATCTTCGATGTAACCATATGTATTTGCATAGCATATAGTGTTTGCTTGAAGTGAGTCTAAACTTTTGATGGGTTATATTATGCATACTGTCTGTCTCAAGTTCCCCACTTGACTCTGACTTTGTAATTTCAGATCTGACCAATGTGAGGAGGGGTGACAGTGGAGGGTGTGGCGGTTGTCATGGAAACCTCTCCTGTACTCAAAGAAAATAATGCCGGTGGGGAAGACACTAGCAAAGCACCAGTCAAAGATGGAGGTGTTAGAAGGAAGAAGATAAAGAAAAACAAAAAGCCTGTGAAGAAGGCGTTGAACAAGATCACGAGCAACGCAGTGGTGGATATTATCGTCCAGGGTGCACCCCCCAGACGCAAGGGTGGACGTAATCGAGGTGCTGGGGTGTTGCGCAAGAAGGGGGATGATATCATCTCGTATACCACAGACGATGGAGTGAAATATAGACCTGGAGGTGATTCACTTTAAATTACTATAATTGATAGTTACAGTTTATTTAATCATTACCATGGTTACTATGTTACTAGATGCAGGAAATAAATAGCTGCATTAGAATATGGTCATGGTGAGGTGATGTCTTTACCTGGAGGTTTTGTCTTTACCTTGAGGTTTTGTCTTTCCCACGAGGTTTTGTCTTTGCCTTGAGGTTTTGTCTTTACCTTGAGGTTTTGTCTTTGCCACGAGATTTTGTCTTTGCCTTGAGGTTTTGTCTTTGCCTTGAGGTTTTGTCTTTACCACATGGTTTTGTCTTCACCATGAGGTTTTGACTTTACCATGAGGTTTTGTCTTTGCCAAAAGGTTTTGACTTTACCATGTGGTTTTGTCTGTAATGCAAGGTGATGTTTGTAGTGCAAGGTTTTGTATTTGGCACAAGGTTTTGTCTTTGGCACCCAGATGGTGAGTGTCCTGAGTAGAACTCCAATTGTTTGTTGAAAAATCCTTTGTTTACAGGTCATCGTCACGATCAACATTCACTCCCTCGGTCTGTGATGAAATCATGCACATCCCATCAGTCTCACCCACTGTTTCACCCTCAGTCTCACCCACTGTCTCACCCACCATCTCACCCACTGTCTCAACTACTGTCTCCCTGACCTTCTCACCAATCTTTTCACCCACTGTTTCACCCAAAATCTCAGCCATCTCACTCGCAATCCCACCCATCATCTCACCCACTGTCTCACCCACCAATCTGCCCATATGGACAAAAGCTCACTGACTTGGTAAACACATGTCATCGTATCCCAATTGCGTAGAACAATGCTCATGATGTTGATCACTGGATTGTCTGGTCCAGACTCCATTAGGCCAAATGAAAAATAATGTTGTGGTTCCGAATACACCTCTTTGAAATTTTGGGTAGGTAGGTAGGAATTATTATATTTTTTTTTAACATCTTATGTTTAGGAGGAAAGTACTGACTAATAACACATGTATCAATGTGTAATTGTTTATTCAATCTTGCGGCCATCTTATCTACTTTCTCTATCAGAATGACCGATATCCGTCGGCGCCAGGAAAAAAACAATGGTATTTGAAAGCTTATTTTATTCAGTCCGCTTAAAAAAATAGGGTCGGCACCAGAATTCAAGGGTCGGTCGGGTAGTCGGAACCGCGACATTTTTTTTAGGCCTTATTTACGGACCACCACCATATAGCTGGAATATTGCTGAATGCGGCGTTAAAACAACCAACCCACATGGACAAGCTTAAGTAATAAGGATAATCTCCTGTCAAAATAACCAAGTAAAGAGATTCTACCTTGCTCCCAGTCCATATACGAAGACAGGTGATGTATCATTTGACCATGGTCACCTATGGCCTGGTGAAGGAAGTATATACACATAGGAAGGTCGTGTGTGAGAGAACATGTCAGACTGGTGGTGGATACTTCGTCACGGCAGCCACTAACGAGAAAATGTTGACATTCCACACCAGGTGGTCACAGGTGAGAGAAGAGATACTTCCCTGTCCTATAGCTGTATCGTCACAAAGAATAACGGTCATGAAGTAGCTGGACATTACTGAGTGTGGCGTTAAACAACAAACAAGCAAGGAACGAGGGTCTGCAGAGGCCCAGATAAGCTGCGTATCCGGGTAAAATACGCATAGAAAATTTCCAATTATGCATTGAAAAATATTTGTTGCTTACCAGTTACGCATTTAAAATGTTAGATATGCAGAAAGTTTAAAACAAATGCGTACGGAAAATATTTATAAAAATCGCTTGTGTAATGATAAAGACATCAATTACTATCAAGTTGTACTGTTAGTATAGGACAAGTGTTGTACTGTCAGTATAGGATGAGTGACTTTTTATGAAATCATTTCCTTTATATTTAAGTTGGTTTTGATTCGGTATGACATAAGGCAGAACATACCTGCTTAGTAAACTTACTCAATGACATAATACTTAGGTGAGTAAAATGACTGAAATACGCACATATTTGAAAGCAGTGGGTAACGGAAAATGAAATACCCACTCAACATTCATAATACCCACTCCAAAAAAAAATACAGTGGGTACAGTACCCACATGAGCTAAATCTTATCTGGAGCTCTGAGTCTGGGTATTGAAGGTGTAGAGTGCATCATGCTATATTGCAATACACAGCATCGTATAGTCTGTCTCACAGTTTAATTTCCCTACTACCTAGCCTTCCTGCAATGCTCAAGACCCAAATGAAGCAAGTCTAGATTTCCCCAGGTTCAGAATCTCTCAACTCCCTGGGGCTCCTTTTTCAATTTAAATGGGTTTATTTGTTACTAGCAAAATTATATATATTGAGAGACAAAGTATTAGTCTAAATGTCATATTGTGATATGTGTCCAAATATTGAAGACAAAAGCAATCAGAAACATCACAGCATAAAGTTCATGAATAAGACAAAACTGCACGCTATTGGTAACAACCGACCACAGCACCATATTTGGGAGACGGATGTTGATGAAGGAGGTGTAGGACTTGCATTCAGAAATCACATAAAGATTACAATGGTGTCTGACAAGTGTAGAACATTGAACATATGATAAAAATTGCTACTTGAAATCATACACTATACCAAGCATTGAAAACTAATATTGTAAAACACTTTGTGGAAAGAGTGGACGTCAATAAACCGGTAACCATGGTAACTTAATATATCTTGTTGTAGATAACTGTGATATACACCATAGTGTTATGACATTAGCCTCTCCCTATTTATTAACACATCCATCCCCAATAAACACCTCTCACTTTATAAACCTGTGAAGATCCTGGTTAGAATTGGTCTTCAGCAACCCATGCTTGTCGTAAGAGGTGACTAACAGGATCGGGTGGTCAGACTCGCTGGCTTGGTTGACACATGTCATCGTATCCCAATTGTGTAGATTGATGCTCATGCTGTTGATCACTGGATTGTCTGGTCCAGACTCAATTATTTACAGACCGCTCCTACAGCCATATAGCTGGAATATTGCTGAGTGTTGGGAATTGGTTAAAATCTCATAATTGATGATTGGTTCATTACAACTGATCAATCATCGAAAATAATTGGTTAGTGTCATTTTTTAAATGTGTTAAAATGCACAAAAAAATAAGGAAAAAAACATGTAGTTCTTTGGGGTTTTTTTGGCAAAATTTCACATCTTTAAAGGATGACTAGTATGGATGAACATAAATTTCTTAGAGTCTTTAAGATAAATTCAATCATGACTTGGAACGAGCTTGTAGTGCTTATGAAATGTAACAGACAAAACCAACCTAGTGAAAAATACTGTTAATGAAAACATGTGTTCTAGAATTGTTTGTGTTCGATTATGAGAAAACATGATCAATTGCTTGGTCGTTTAGGCACTGCGACCAATCTTCGATTATTTCAATTAATCGGATCACCACTAGTGCGGCGTAAAACAACATAGGAACAGTTTATTATAACATCACAAGGTGCTTGTTTGTGTGTTTGTTTGTTTGTTTGTATGTTTTTTTGTTTGTGTGTTTGTTTGTTTGTGTGTTTGTTATCTGATGCCACACTCCAGGAGCAGCAAGACTAGGATTAATATATTAACTATAGCATTAAGACTTAATCACCCAAATAGACTTGTTCAGTGAAAGAAGAAAAAACTGGAATAGTATTATCCAGCTGTGTGTTGTCCATGACGATGGTGTTTGTCACGTCAATTTCAACTATGGATGAACAGTGATATATTGTCATTGTCTGTTTCGGGAGAGAAAGCTCATCTTTAACCTCCGACCTCCTTCCTCTCGCATCTGATAACAACTGTTATTTGCACCGCCTATATTAGCTAACAACAGCTGTCATCAATGTCATGCGATATGTGTTTGTATTCCCTGAGCCGATTAGCAACAGCGCTGTTTAGCAGTATCCTGGATGTGACCAATCCCCTTCAACACCATGTGATACAGCATCCCTAACTAGGGTGATATGTGGATAGGCTGTGGGTCCCTTTGTTTGCTATATAGTCTTTTATGTAGTGTAGGTCAACTGTGACGGGGTTTAAAACACTTGTAACCAACGCCACTGATCTGTGAGATCATTCATTTAACCCACCTTCAGCAAAAAATATTCTGATGATTTTTTTTTAGACTTCTGTGGATGTGGTGGTCATTTCGCTTGCTGTGGTTGGTCTGTTTTTGTGATTGATGACCGACACATTGATGGTTATTATGATTATAATCAAACTTTGTTCACTGTCACTCAAACCATTGTTTGATCCAAAGATGGAGATTATCTTTTATACAAACTGAAATTTCAGACTGCTTCTTAGGTTAAAAAACTGAATTAAATAGCAGGGAACTAAGAGTAAATAGCATCATATTTTCTTTTGTTTAGTTGTCAGGTAATATATAGGATGGGGCGTCGGGGGTAGCCTAGTGGTTAAATATTAATAAGACCGAGGTTCGAATCATGGGTAACAATGTGTGAAGCCCAAGAGTCCCCTGCCGTGATGTTGCTGGAATATTGCTAAAAGCGCGTAAAACCAAAACTCAGTCAGTCAGTGTCAGTAATATATATGATATGATATTAAGAATTGTTCTCAATAAAGAAAAAAGAGATATCAATTTTGAGGAAAATACACTATATTGAAGATTCTAATAAAGAGTACAGGATACCAGACCAATGCATTATTCCAAGGATGTCAGAGCATTGCTTGAATCCCAGCATGTCTGTTTAGATGGAATCCTAGGATGTTAGGGCATAGCTTGAATCCCAAGATGTCACACAGAGCTTGAATCCCAAGATATAACACATAGCTTGAATCCCAAGATATCACAACTAGTGTGAATCCCAGGATGTGACACATAGATTGAATCCCAGGATGTGACACATAAATTGAATCCCAGGATGTGACACATAGATTGAATCCCAGGATGTGACACATAGATTAAATCCCAGGATGTGACACATAGATTGAATCCCAGCATGTGACACATAGTTTGAATCCCAGGATGTGACACATAGATTGAATCCCAGGATGTTACACATAGATTGAATCCCAGGATGTGACACATAGATTGAATCCCAGGATGTCACATGTTGCTTAAATCCCAGGATGTGACACATAGATTGAATCCCAGCATTTGACACATAGATTGAATCCCAGCATGTGACACATTGTTTAAATGCCAGGATGTCAGAGCGTAGATTGAATCCCAGGATGTCAAAGTCTTGATCTAAAGCCAGTCCAGCACTACAAGCAATAGTGATTCCATCATGGAAGAGGTCGGGTGACAGGGATCAAGTTGAGTTGATATGGATGTAGGTGATACAAGTTTTTAACACTTGGACACATATTTCCATGTAGTTCCACTGAATTCCACGTTCATTCTGTAATTTCTGTGATAATCTGGAACACGACCCAACACAGTGCCCCAGCATTCTAAGATTGTCAAACAGATGTTCAGAATTGTAAAAAATATAACATGTGACAAATAGTCCTAACTGGTGATATTTTTAGGGGAGTGGTCGTGCTTCCTGCCGCGATATCTGTCTTACCACTTGCCTGAGAATGATGCATCTGCTTCTCCGACAAAGTGAAAACCCATTACCATCACTTAGCACTGGAATGAAACCCTCGTTTATGGGGGTTTTACTGACATCTTTTCCGGACTAAAGGAGTATTTATGTTTGTCCAAGCGATTGGGAAATCAGATTGTGCTTTGTGGAGCAGTGGAATAGCTGAGTGGGAAAGGTGTTTGCCTGTCTCACAGAGGGCATGATTTATTCTTCATAAGTCTTGGGAACGGAACAGATTTTCGGGATTGATAATTGATTTTATTCCACTGTAGGTAACTTTCACGAGCAATATGTCCGATTATATGTGGTCAAACAGATCTACTGTGTATACAGCTGCCTTAGTTATGTACTTCCTGTCACTCACCCACCCACACACCCACTCAACGGCTTGTTTAATTGCCCACCATTCATCTGTTCACCTTGTCATTTGCCCACCCAGTCTTTCTCACTTCTTGCCCACTCACTCACTCACTCACTCACACTCACTCACTCACAACCCATGCTGGTCATAAGAGGCGGGATTGGGTTGTCAATCTTGCTGACTTGGTTGACACAGGTCATCTTATCCCAGTTGCCAAGATCAATGCTCATGATGTTGTTCACTGGATTGTCTGGTCCAGACTCGATTATTACACAGACAGTCACCATATAGCTGGTATGCTGCTGAGTGCAGCATTAAACAACAAACGAAACAAACACTCACTCACGCACTCTTTTTTCCAGATATAGCGTTTGAAGATGTTCCCCTTTTATCCACCATCAGTATACTCCATGTTTAATGAATTATGTGTATATTTTCAGATTGTGTGTAGAGTTGTCATAACCACCCACCTACACACCCATGCATATGCTCACCCACATTCTCTCTCACCCACTGACCGCCTCAGTGGTGTAGTGGTTAGAGCGTCCGCCCGGAGAGCGGAAGGTCGCGGGTTCGATCTCCAACCGCGTCATACCAAAAGACGTTTAAATATGGAACTTGTTGGTCCCTACCTGGCGCTCGGCATCAATGGGGTACAACAAGGACTGGTTGGCTCGGAGTCGGTATAATGTGTCTGAGTGGGGTATTCATGCTTCACTGCGGCATGGTATCTCAGTGGGCTAGCACTATAAAACCAGCTTCAGTCTGGGCTAGTACAAGCAGCCGCACATACACATACACACGCATGCACGTCGTCATATGAGCGAAATATTCTCAAGCACGACGTTAAACCCAATTTCACCTCACCTCACCTCACCTCACCTCACCTCACCTCACCTCTCTCACCCACTAGTACCCAGTCATGCTCAAACAGTTGTCACGTCCACTCACTCACTCACGCACTCACCTCTCACTCCTTTTTTTTAATATGTTCCCTTTTTATCCACCATCAGTATACTCCATTATTTAACCCTGCTTTATGAATTACATGTATATTTTCAGATTGTGTGTACATCGAAAACAACCGCCCCGACCAGCCCTACTACGTGTGTGCAGTCAAGTATTTCCGAGTGGTCAGTACATCATGTATACCACATTAACAGAGAATCCTCGATAGCGATTGGCCAATTATACCAATAATAGACGTTAATATTTCATGGTGGAAGTGTATATATTTTTTCTGTATCTTTGCTTATCTGATAGACCATACACAACTGATAGCAAGGGCAGTTATCTGCACTATATCATGCATACTTTATCATTGTGATACAAGTAAACTGATAGCCAAAATGTATTCTGAATGAAAGATTTATGAGACTTAAAATTAGTTCTATTTTCGTTTGGTACTACTCAGATCTTGTAAATTACACAATGTTGGCTTGTAATGATATATATAGACTTGTCTCAAATACGAAAAGCAATAGATTAACATTTGAATTTTTTATTTTTTTTCGGATAGAGAAATCAGATGCACTCAGAAACAGCATATCAGGACATTTGAAAATGAGAAAATTTGGCACATGAACTGACAAATTAATATTTATTTCTGGTTTGAACTTGAACAATTTTCATTACTGTGTAGTAATCATGTAGTTTATGATCTCATTAATTATAACACGAATACCATGGTCAGTGTCAGATTCAGCCTGCTGCTCTAACCCGCCTGTTTGTTGTCTTGGTAACGATATGTGTCTGCGATCATCATCATCATCATCATCATCATCATCATCATCATCATCATCATCATCATCATCATCATCATCATCATCATCATCATCATCATCATCTACTACACTTATCCAGATACGAGTAACTGATCAAAGGCTATATTTGTCGCTTGACTGTTGTCATTCTCAACTCCCTTAGGAGTATACAACCCACCCAAGTGCGGCAGGCTTTTACAGCCACCTTGTATGCGGTCTAGGTGTGATTTAGTGTGTAGAGTTACATCCCTTGGGCATCCCCAAACATGTAGCTGAGAATCCCACTTCACCATGATTAAGTTTCCTGACTTGTTAACAACATAAAACCCACTGTCATAGGTTTTACCAAAGTGGTAAAGGTTTCATACCAATATCGCTTTACTTTTCACCCTCATCAAGTTGAGACAATGTGAAAAAAGCAGCTTTTAAAGTGTATTCACTATCTCACGGGGCGGTGGTGTAGCCTAGTGATTAAAGCGTTCGCTTGTCAAGACCTGGGTTCGATTCCCCACATGGTGTCCCCCGCTGTGATATTGCTGGAATATTGTTAAAATCGGCATAAAACTATACTCTCTCACTCACTATAACACAATAATGAGTATATATCAGTTAAACAATTTTAAAGTTTGTATTGGTTTAAGAGTATTACTGTTTATGTTTGTTATTTTATGATTTAAAAGTGGTTTAAGTTTTGTTGAAGGTCTGTTCGTGCAATTTGAATGCTATTTGTAATACGAAACTCCAATTATCAAGAGGGATTAAACTGTCATTAATAACATGTCAGTGTGTTTTCAAATCCACACAATTCACTATATAATCTTGATAATGGTGCATAATGAAGACCTTGGCGGAAATACAAAGATTATTTTTTGTGACAGTTAAACTGTTTAATGGGTTTTCAAATTTTTCTCACATTTAATTATTAACCAAAAATTGTCTTTATGTCATTTGTCTGACAAATCTGACTGTTTTATGTCCGAAAATAATTGAAAAAGATGGTAAGCTGACATTGGCAGTTGATTTGTGACGGTTACCATGGCAACCTAATTGTCATGCAATAAAATCATAGCAGTTGAAAGGCTTTGAGCTTCCCAGCTGTGATTCTGTTCATTGACAGACTCTCAGTCTTCTTTAATTCTTCCCCCATATACTGGACAGCCAGCGAGAAAAATTCATCAATTCATATTTCAAGAAAAACATTTGTCACTACTTTGTGCTAAAAATGTGCATGAAAATGGCAGCATGGCTATGATCCTTGCTTGTGCTAAGTGTCGTGGAGATGGGGGAGATAGAGAGATGAGATGATTCTTCCATTTATTATTGATGCAAGAACGTGTGTGCCCTGGGTCTGAGTGCTGCCTTTGTGTTGACTCGCGATTGATTGGGGAAAACAGGAGTTACCTCCCTTCCTTTGTGAATCAACTTGGCTGCATTCTGTAGGCTTGTGTCAATATTGAGCCTCGGTGGTTTTATTCCTAGTCATTACTTGTTGTCCTTTGTCGCGCCATTCATCATTGTAGGGGCTGACATCGTGATGAGAGATACATTTTGTAGCAGTAATGATTTGAATATCTTGATATGTTTTTATTCAAAGCTTAACCTAGAGGATGTCTAGTATCTAGCCATCTGCTAACTGATCACACAGTGCTTGTTTAGCTATGAGAGAAAGCTAGATAGGTGTGAGTGTTTGTTGCAGGATAAATATATGAGTGTGGCTAGATATGTGTGAGAATGTTTGTGGCTAGATATGTGTGAGAATGTTTGTGGCTAGGTATGTGTGAGAATTTGTGGCACAATAAATATATGAGTGTGTGGCTAGATATGTGTGAGAATGTTTGTGGCTAGATATGTGTGAGAATGTTTGTGGCACAATAAATATATGAGTGTGGCTAGATAGGTGTGAGAATGTTTGTGGCACGATAAATATATGAGTGTGTGGCTAGATATGTGTGAAAATGTGTGTGAAGAGAGCTGTAGGAGTATTCATGGTAATGTGAGAGTGTTGATATGGAAGTACATGTGATAGCATATAGAGTGTGTGGCTAGATATCTCTATGTGGGTGTGGCTAGAGAGCTAAGGAGTATTCATGGTAATGTGAGAGTGTTGATATGGAAGTACATGTGATAGTGTTTGTGGCTAGATATCTCTAGGGGTGTGGCTAGATATCTCTGGGGGTGTGGCTAGATATCTCTGAGGATGTGGCTAGATATCTCTGAGGATGTGGCTAGATATCTCTGGGGGTGTGGGTAGATAGCTGTGAGAGTGTTCGTCCAGACCAGTGAGAGAGTTATTGGCTGGATATGTCTGGGGATGTGGCTAGATAGCTGTGAAAGTGTTCGTCCAGATCAGTGAGTGTGTTATATCTCAAGGGGTGTGGTTAGATATCTCTGTAAATGTGGCTAGATAGCTGTGAATGTGTTTACATCTAGGTCATTTTGAGTGTTTGTGGCTAGATGGCTCTGATGGCTAGATATCTCTTAGGGTGAGTGTTTGTGGCTAGATATCTCTAGGGTGTGTGGCTAGATATCTCTAGGGGTGTGGCTAGATATCTAGGGGTGTGGCTAGATATCTTGGGGTGGGGTGTGAGGTGCAAGATAGCTGTGAATGTGTTTACATCCAGATCACTGACAATTTTTATACAGAATTAAATATGAGAGTGTTTGTGGCTAGATATATCTGTAAATGTGGCTAGATAGCTGTGAAAGTGTTTTGTGCTAAACAGCTATTAAAGTGATTATACAGATAACACGGAGAGTCTTTATGGTTAGTATCCATGGTTTGATAGCTGTGAGAGAATTTATGGCTAGATCACTGTGATTGTGTTGTTGACTGCTACTGGCTCTTGCTGAGTGACTGTACTATCAATCTAGCCAGCGGGGATCTCATGGAGGGTGTTTATCCCCCTCTTGGGGCCCACTGTCGCTACTTGGCTATTAGAGTCATCTGATTATTGGTACAATTGGTTGTTTTCTGAATATTTCGATGTGCTGATTTCGTCCTCAGTGCATTGATCAGAGACTGCTAGAGCTGTTCTTCTAAATGTCAACTCTCCACGTCTCTGTTGTGTATTTCTAATTTATAAACGTGCGTACGTCCTTGAAAACAGGTTTTAGTGCCATTAGGAGGGTGTGCGAGCTTCAAGTCTTCAAATGATTGTTGGATTATTGTTGTTTTATCGATATGAATAATTTGACAGGTTTGGAAAACTGAAGTTAATAGATCAGTGAATATTCATGCAGTGTAGTTTATATTCTTGTTTTTCTGTTGGGTAAGCCTGCCAATGGAGTATGTGCTTCATGTGGTGTTTCCATAGAAACGGATACCAAAATGGTATGATACAGTCTGTGTCACACTGAGGAATATTCCGGGTTTGTGACGGAAGCCAGGTAATCGAATAAGGACCCAGACAATCCTGTGATAGATATTAGGAAAAACAATTGATACCATCAGGGTACGTTGACATGCCATTAGGGACTTTTGTTTGCTAGTTCTAATCCAGAATCCCCATGACTTTCAAATTCACTTCTCTGTTGTGACCAATATTGGTTGCTTGGGACAAGTATAGTTTGCTAAGGACCAGTTCTAATCCAGAATCCCCATGACTTTCAAATTCACTTCTCTGTTGTGACCAATATTGGTTGCTTGGGACAAGTATATAGTTTGCTAGGGACCAGTTCTAATCAGAATCCCTGCATGACTTTCATATTTAGATGCTTCTTAGGACCAACAACACCACACCGGAAGATCCGGGTTAGAATTGATCTTCAGTAACCCATGCTTGTCGTAAGAGGCGACTAACGGGATCGGGTGGTCAGGCTGGCTTAGTTGACAGATATGTCTTCGTAACACAATTGCGTAGATTTGATTATGCTCATGCTGTTGATCACAGGATTGTCTGGTCGCGACTTGATTATTTACGTACCGCCTCCATATAGCTGGAATATTACTGAGTGCGACGTGAAAAACAACAAACTAAACCAAAACACCAGCAACACTGACTGACTCGCAGTGACAGACAGTCTGGTGCTTCTGGTTTAGGAAGACTGCCTCTGTGGTGTAGTGGTTAGAGCGTCCGCCCGAGAGCCGGAAGGTCGCGGGTTCGATCTCCGACCAGCGCCATACCAAATAAAATATGGTACTTGTTGGTCCATGCCTGGCGCTAGGCATTAATGGGTACAGTCAGTATAATGTGTCTGATTGGGGTATTCATGCTTCACTGCGGCATGGTAGTATCTCAGTGGGCTAGCACTATAAAACCAGCTTAAGTCTGGGCAAGTACAAGCAGGCACACATACACATACACACACATGCACATCGTCATATGAGTGAAATATTCTCAAGTACGACGTAAAACCCAATTTCACCTCAC